TTTACCTATCTCAGATTTGCCATGACGGATTGGAATTTTATTTCTGACTTGGCCATTCTTTTTCTTTTCCCTGCACAGATTTCCTTGGCCAAAATCTACTTGTCACGTCGGAGACGATACGAGCCGGGCGCTTGTGCATTATTTATTACGGAAGTTTTGAGTTCTTTCCCCCTCGCCGAATCTTACCGAGCCGAATAAATGGGAGAAGCCTTACCACAAAAAGAATGCTTATTGTGCAAGGCATATTGCAATTGCCTGTTCTGGTGTTCTATGCGGCTTTGTGTATTACTGAAAATGAGGTCTGGGACATCTGGACCGTTTGCTATTTCGGAATTGAGTTGCTGTGCCTCATCATCTTTACTCTCATGCTGTACTTCAAGCGAAACGATTTGAAGAAGTATCAGTTGGAGGAGAATATGGTGATGTTAGTATTCGCCTTCATTCTGACTATTTATATCTTAAGTGACAACATCCGCTGGTATATCATTCCGGAGGATGTGGTATGTATAATGAGTGATCCCCAAGGCTCTTTATGGTGGGTGTTTAGCGTTTAGTGTTGGTGCCATAGATCGTTTTATGAGATCAATTGCTTCGCTGACCTAAAGAGATTTGTTGCTCGATTTCGTGTTGCCTGTCGTTTGCGCTAAGTTGTTTGTGAATTGCACTTAACCATCGACTCGATTAATTGTTACGTAACCGAACAGGGTACTGGATATGGGGCAACTGTCGGCTGGGAATTGACGGATCTACTCACCATGCTGTCCTACGCGATCATCTCGGTAGGCATATGGTATAGACACATATCCATCATGTGGAATCGCAACTTCAATCAGAAAGGGGCCGCATACCCTGAAAACGGCAATTTGACAGCACTGCAAGAGGCGTCTGCGGTAGACTTTGGAAGCGCCGCACAGATAGTAGGTACGTTACCCACAACGATGGCCCAAGTTGATTGCAATCCCAAGGAGAAGGAGAATGTCTATAACACGGCTGAAATCGCTGGGTCTGCCGATGATGTAAATGACCTGTCGATCGACCCTATAGAGGAGCATACTTTGGCGTATATTCCTGCCGCTAACGACATAGTAGACGAGATCCTGCGCCTCCAGCAGGTTAATAAGGACTTACATGCTAAGGTGTGTTTAGGCTTAGGCTCTATTCGTTTTCGTACTGTTAGACTATGATTGTGTACTTCTGTTTTCATGTGCATGTCCTGGCCATTGTGTAGCTTTCAATTACTGCAGTATGTACTACCTTTTGATACTATAAGTGTAGTCAGTGGCTGGCGTTTGGGAGAATCGGGAGGACAAAATTCAGTGTTGAGCGATTGCATCCTATACGAATGGCTCGAATTTTATAACAACAACAGGCCCTGCAGTAATCGCCAACATCTAGTAAGCACTTATATTTGCAGATATACTCAAGCAGCAATCTATCTCGTATCCGCAGCTGCTGTTATTGACGGGCGAATACTCTAACGCAAATGTAGATCACATAAATGATATCTTAGCAAAAACAAATGCTAGGCTAAGTAGTAGAAAGTCTGGCGCTTTGGCTGATATCGGCGAGAGTAGGTCACTACAGAAGCTTACGATGGAGCATGTGGTGCTTATGAATGCGTTACGACGGGTAGGTTCTTCACAATATTTGAGTGTTCGTAGTGTGCCTCGGTACTGTATGCACTTTGTACATATCGTAGCGCATGTTTATTGTTTAGTGGTTGAGTTATATTCTCCCCGAATTAAGTGTCTCGCATTCGTGGACATGAAGGCGTTATACAAATCGGCACCGAAACTTGGTGTTTGTGAACGCGATGTCTTTTCTTTTCCTTTGTACGCTTAATTTATAGTAACAAGTGCCCAGAGACCTGAATGTTGAATCTGTGAAACCCGGATTTTTGTTCCAAAACAATATGACCGAATGTATACACCATATGTATAAATCCGCCTGTCTTTATAATCAGGCTGACACATGCAGCTGCTTATTTCAACTTTATTGGTTTCGTCAACAGGTTGGAAATCCGCATATTAAGGAAAAGGCAGATCCGTTTTTAGAATAAGGTCAAACACGACAGTATAGATGATCAATTTAGTAGACAATAATTTAGAAAGCATGGCCGACTGTAACGGCGTGACAAACTCCGCACGTGAGGCAATTTGTACATTCTGCATTAGACAAGACGTGCGTATGAGCATCGTACACGTGTAGCTCATCCATTACATATATATATATATATATATATAATAATGAAGATAAATTCTATAGACACCTGTAATATTTAACACACACACGCGAAGCTTCGATGCATGTGAAGAGTGCGAGCATGCTCTGCGAACCGAGGTGTTGTCATGGAAAGCCCTACTGAATTTAATTAGGTATAGGTGCTGGCTAGCACTCTCGGTTTCGGTGAGTACAGCGGGAGGTATGGCCATAAGATTGCAACGCGACTACTCTCTAGACAAGCAAGTTTGTGTACACTCTCAGTTCGAGTACACATGCGCGACCTGGTGGGGTTTCACAAAGCCTTAACACCTTCTTCAAGGATGTATCGGGATCGATTGGTATGGTTTCGATCTTCAAAATGCTGTCACTAGCGCAGCCGTACAAATACACACCGAACAGAACATGCATTGTAGGTCTCTAGTGTAGATCCACTTGGGCCACAGATATAATAAACATTATGCCACTTACTGGAAGACTGTTATTCATGTTACTCATGGCAAGTAGCGTAAAAGTTAGCTGCTACCATCATGGACGCACTGTGGTGAAGTAGATAGCAACGGAGCGGTTGGAGCGGTTATGTAAAAAGTTTTAAATATGACCCAACTAGAGAGGAGTGACGAAAATCAGCCACACAAAATGGTTACTGAGGGGTATTAAATATAACCCAATTAGCGGGCGGGCAATGAGGGATGGCAGCCATCTTGATTTTACCATGATATTACAGCACCGTTTCGGAAAGTATCCTCAATCAAAGAACTACAGCTGTTTAACAACATTGAATTTCTACTACCAGTAGTTCAAGTCAAGGCCTAGAGATCCAACGAACACTATCGTGACAAAGGTACCAAGCACAAACCTATCACTTACAGACTGGAACTCTTGAGCAAATATACAGATGCAGAGCAATGTGCGTATCCCGAGAAGTGACATTTTATGGCGAGTCGAGATGGACGGCAAAGAAAGGATTGTGGGTGAGATGCGTTTCCCTTGTCAAGTTTAACTTGGTCCAGATTTGTTGCAGCCCATAAGCGGCTTTAAACGGACTTGTTTCAATTCTTTGAAGGATTCAAAGTGTAGAAAACATCGTCCGGTTTACAGACATGCATGTTCTAATAATGTACTTTCTATGTCTTAACCAGCTGTTGTTGCCGTTAAGATAGCCATGAATAGCTCAAAATAGCAGATGGCAACCTTTTTACGTTGCAATTGGTAGAGGACAATGACGACGAAGCTAGCAAGCAAGTATTCTGCTACACTCTGTCAACTCCAGCAAAGCGTTTGTGTGTCAGATGAGAATTCATGGCTTTTATCAGGCTCATGGCAGCAAGAAGCCTTTGAGTAGAATCGATCGTACACATATACATACACCTATATATATACGTACTAGTAAAAGTAGACCTTGATCTCAGCAATGTTGTCGTTTATACCTATACGTGTTAATGTAGCACGGAAGATTTTCTATGACATCTCCCCATTGTTTGTACGTCGAACTTGCGTAAAACCGCGTTTCATCAGCCGGGGTTGTTGGGTTCTGCCCGTAGATCCACCGGGTATTTGTCGAGAGACCTTCTTCAGAGTCATAAAATTTGCACACAAAGTCCGATTGGTGTTTGTTGCCGTCGGTCATGAGGCCCGCATCTCCCTGGCATGGGTATACAGACGTATGTGCAGAGTTGTTTGTACTGGTATTTCCGAAATTGTGATTGTACAGATGCATACGCAGCTGTGTTTGTACCGATATGTGCACTGTTGCCAGTGCACAGATGCGTGCGTAGTCGTGTGTGTAAGAACATTTTTCTTCATACAGATAAACATGCAGCAGTTGGTATGAGGGCCACACGCGCAGATGCATACCACGCTTGGGACGAGTGTTTGGGCAAGCTCAGTCACACACCGCGTGAATGGAGCGCATGAAGTGTGTGTGTAAGCTGTGTTGGCTGTTGTGCCGGGAGTATGTATGTGTCCCTTAAGTGTGTATATACACAAGAAAATCCGACTGATTAGTGTAATTTCTGAACTTATTGGAGTAGATGGCAAACAAGTGGAATCCGTATCCTCTATGAAAATGACGACGAAGCGGGCCACAAATCGAGAGAAAGTCCATTGTCATGAACCAGATGTGTGATCGATACAGGTGAAGCCCTTATAGCACTTCGACTGAAATGACCGGCTGTGCATAGCGCCATTGCAAAATGTCCTGCAGTCGAAGGTATTATATTTAACAAGTGTAGAGTAGTACTGTAAGGGTGTTTGTAGAGATGCTCGGTGTTAAAATGATAGATCAGTAAGTGGAAGTCCGGGGTAGCACGCCATGGATATCTGAACCGTATAGATACACAGGCAAGACTCGGACATACAGGTTTCGCGTGCCATTTGATCAAGTACACAAGTCGCAATACAACCTATCCAAAACTATTCTTACCTGCATAATGGACAGTAACGCACGGTTAGAGAGCGGCTTCGACCGCATGGCAAGCAGTACACGGTCATTGGTGTTCACCGCTTCGCTGAAGAGTCCCAGCCCTTCTGTACACGCATCACACGTCTGGTGACAAAGAGGCCCAATGTCGAGTTCCGATGAATTGTAGAAACTGGTTA